GGGAAAAGGTTTTTTGGATGAGTCTGTCCTGCAAGCTGGCTGGTCCCACCATGGCAGGACCCTGCTCCCAGCGTGGGAAGGGATGGGCATCTCCCTCTGAGCACTCTCTGGGACAGGGGACAGGAGCACTGGGGTGGACTGGGGTGGCTCTGGTGTGGGATGGGGACACAGTGGCAGGCCAGGGTCTCCCGAGGTGAGATGTGGGCTCTCCTGGTACACTGAGGCACACAAACGGGATACACACACCCCGGCAGGACAGGAATGTGGGACGAGGGGCACCCTGGATGGGATGGGGGCTCTCAGGGAGGGTGGAGGCAACTGAGTAGGATGGGGGGCAGGGATAGGAGCACCCAAATGGGAGAGAACATCCTGGCACGGATGGGGGGACCCTGGGCGTGATGGGGAGACCAGGGCAGGGTGGGAGGAACACGGATGGAACGGGTGACCATGAGTAGATTGAGAACGCTCAGATGGGAAGWGACAGCCTGCATGGGATGRGGGGACACCGRTGTGATGGGAAMACTCGGATGGGAGGTGACACCCTGCATGGGATGAGGGGACACCGGCTGGGGCAAGGTAAAGGAACTCTGGATGGGATGAGGGCGGCAGGGATGGGATGGGGAGACCCCGGACAGGGTGAGGGGACCCCGAACGTGCAGGGAGTCTCGTAGGCGGCGGGGCCGATCGTCGCCCCGTGGGCTCCTCGTGGGCAGCGGGGCCGCTCGGCCATCGGGGCGGACTCGCTGCGGGGCGGTGCGGGGCCGCTGCGGACTCGGCGGCGGGACCAGCGCGGAGCGGTGCGGGGCCGGCGGGGCGGTGCGAGCCCCTGCCCGGCCCCCGGTGTCGGTTTGCATCCCGGCTCCTCCCCGCCCCGCCGCCCCGCGCATTCCCGACCCTCCGGGCGGTGGCGGCGGCGGCGGCGGCGGCGGGGCCCGGCGGGGCCGGGGCGGGACCCCACGATGCCGCAGCTGGAACCGACGGGGGGAGACGACTTGGGGGCCCCCGACGAGCTCATCGCCTTCCAGGACGAGGGCGAGGAGCAGGACAAGGGCGCGGGGCGCGGCTCGGCCCACGGGGACCTGGACGAGCTCAAGTCCTCGTTGGTCAGCGAGACCGAGAACCGGGGGGCCCCCGGCCCCGGGGTCGGCCCCGGCCCCGAGGTGAGGCGGGGGGCGGCGGGGAGCCGGGAGGAGGCGTCCCCCGCCCGGCCCCGCTCCGCTCACCGCCTCTCCCCGCAGGCGGAGCGGCCCCCGCCGCCCCGGGAAAGTTTCCAGAAGCCGCGGGACTCTCTGGCAGAAGGTACCGGACCCCCCCTCCCCGCGTCCCCCTTCCCCCCTGCTCCCCGCCACATCCCCCGGGACCAGCCGACACTTCCCAACTTCTTTGTTTCCGCCCCCGGCTGCGGGCGGGACCCCTTGTGTGCCCCCCCGTCTCCCCTCGTGTGTCTGCCCGTGTCCCCCCCCGTGTCCCCCAGTTCTCCCCACGGTGTTCTCCCACAGTCGTGTCCTCACCCCCCACGCGTGTTCCCCCCACCGTGTCCCACTGTCCTCGTATCCCGCCCGCCGTGTTCCTCTCCCTGGTGTCCTCGTCCCCCTGATTCCCCCGTCCATGTCCCCACCCTCGTGTCCTCGCCCCCCCGTGTGCCCACCCGCCGTGTCCCCCAGTTTCAGCTCCCGTGTCCCCTCCCCCTTGTCTGCCCTCCCGTTGTGTCCCCTCTCCCACTCCCCCGGCCCCAGGTCCCGCCCTCCCCTCCCCAAAACCGGCCCCGGTCGCTCCCCCACCGATGGATCGGTGGCCCCCATCGCTCCACGGGCTCGGGGCACCCCCAGGGCTGGGTCCTCTCGGGGAGTGACCGGCACCGGCACTCTCCACCCCCGGGACTCCTCCTGTACAGCCGAGTCCCCCTCCCGCGGGGCCGCGCTCCCCAGCAGCAGGGACACCCCCAGAAGAACTAAGGACACCCCCTTGGGGACTTCTCTGGACCCCTCCCGAGTGGGGACCCCTAAAAAATCGAAGACCCCCCCCAAGTGACTTGGGCCCCCCCTGAGGACCTACCCGCGCCCCCCAAGTACAGAACACCCTCCACGAGAACCAAGGACCCCCCCAAAATGCCTTGGGCCCCCGCTCCCCTCCCCGAAGTGGAGACCCCCAGAGGGGGGAACCGGGGACCTCCCCCAAGGGACTTGGGCATCCCCAGAGGGACTTCACCGCACCCCCTGTGCATCCCCGACCCCTCCGCCTCCTGATTCCCCCCTTCCTTCTCTCCCCAGTGGTCAGACGGCAAGATGGGGGTTTTTTTAAGGGCCCCCCCTATCCTGGCTACCCCTTCCTGATGCTCCCTGAGCTGGGCAGCCCCTACCTCGCCAACGGAGCCCTCTCCCCCGGCGGAGCCCGCACCGTAAGTGCCCCCCCGGACCCTCCCTAAATCCCACCACCTTTTGGGGGTGTTCAGACTCTCCCTAAGCCTCACAGCCCGTCCTGCAGGAAAGCGGCCACCTCACGCTAAAGAAAAACTCCAAGAAATTTATTTTATTTCCTTTATTTTTGGTTCGCTTTGCGCCTTCCAGGGGGGACTCTGGTAGGGTGGGGAGTTTGGGGGGCCTCACTCCGGCCGAAACCTGACCCTGAGCTGCCGCTTTTCTCATTTAAAAGGGTTTTAAAGCCGTTAATGGGCCAACATTGGCCGCGGGGGGAGAAGTGATTAAGCAAATTGAGCGAGAACTGGGGGGGGGGGCAGGAGAAGGGGGGCGACCCCCTCCCCTCAGCAGAGTCCCTCGACCCCCAAAACAATCCCACTCAGCTTCTTGTGCGGCATCCTAAAGTAATTTTAGGGTTATGAAGGTATTTTAGGAATATAACGTGTTCTCTAGGCAGCCCTACAGTGCGGTCCTGGGAGGCATTCTCGATCCCCCGGGAGGATTCTCAGCCCCCCCGGGGGAATTCTCAGCCCCCCGAGGGAATTCTCAGCCCCTCGGGGGGTCCTCAGCCTTCGGGGAGGGGAGGGATGTGGACCAGGCAGTGGTACCCACCGCATCCCGGGCTGGAGCATCACACCTCACTGCTGATTGTCCAGGTGTATTTCTTGCTCCAGTGATGCTTTTCCACGTATTTTCTCTCCGGATCTGTAGGATCTGCRTTCCCATGTGGAACGTATATGGGATAACAATAGTTGTGGCGTCGATAATGTTTTGAAATCTCGGAATCYGTCTGGTTTGCAAGGAGAGTTTTCAATATTTTTAAGGGTTTTCCTAGTTTTGCTTTCCTGGAAGCAACTGGTTGGGGTGGCCGTGAAGTGCAAATCCCGGGATGGGGAGGGCACATAGACTTAAYGATCCCGGAGTTTTGCCGGCGGCTGGATTAAGGTTGTATTCCCAATTTGTCACTTTTGGGATTACGAGGTTTTGGGGATGAAGCTCAAGTGACCGYGCTGCCAAACATTGGCGAGGAATCCAGGATAATGAGAAGGGATTGGGGTTGGGATCCGTCACAAGCGGCCACTAATGATGATTTAATGAATCCCAGAAAAGGGATTAATTAACGGGGGCTGGAGCGGGTGTCGACTCCCAGATGTTTGAGAGGGTTGACTGGGGTTGGGAAAGCGTGGATGGAGGCTGAATCCYGACAAACTGGGGCTCTGCATGGAGCCAGGGGTGTGCGGGGGGGAAGCTGGGGATGCTGGGGAGGGCTGAATGAATTTTGTGATGCTGCTGGGTGAGGCCTCACTGGATCCCACGGAGAGCAGCCAAGCTCTGTACCCATCACCAATCCCCCTTCCAGAAGCTCCCACCAGAGGAGCAGCACAGGGATCCCCCAGATCCCAGGACATCATCGTGCCAGTGCAACTGGACAGGMACAGTGTCCCTGATCCCATATTAGATCCATCTGGGCACAGCACCCTGATCTGTACCACATCTGGCCAGGCTCAGCATCCTCAGATAACCCCGTAACAGAAAACAGCAGCACAGAGCATCCTCGATCCTGGTCTGGATCCAGCCAGGCACAGCATTGCTGATCCTCTACTGGATCAATCTGGGTGCAGCAGCCCTAATCCCAACCCAGATCCTGCTGGGCACAACATCCTTGATCTCATATTGGATCTGGCCAGGCTCAACATCATTGGTCCTGTTCCTGATCCATCCAGGCACAGCATCCCTGATCTCATACTGGATCCATCCAGGCACAGCACCCCTGTTCTCATACTGGATCCATCCAGGCACAGCGTCTCTGATTCTGTATTGGACCCATCCAGGCACAGCATCCCTGATCCCATACTGGATCCATCCAGGCACAGCATCCCTGATTCCCAATTGATCCATCCAGGCACAGCATCCCTGATCTCATACTGGATCCATCCAGGCACAGCATCCCTGATTCCCAATTGGATCCATCCAGGCACAGCATTCCTGATTCCACATTGAATCCATCCAGGCACAGCATCTCTGATTCTGTATTGGATCCATCCAGGCACAGCATCCCTGATTCCCTATTGGATCCATCCAGGCACAGCATCCCTGATTCCCAATTGATCCATCCAGGCACAGCATCCCTGATTCTGTATTGGACCCATCCAGGCACAGCATCCCTGATCCCATACTGGATCCATCCAGGCACAGCATCCCTGATTCCCTATTGAAACCATCCAGGCACAGCATCCCTGATTCTGTATTGGATCCATTTAGGCACAGCATCCCTGATTCCACATTGAATCCATGCAGGCTCAGCCTCTTCAATCCTATACTGCAACGTCTGGGAAGAGAATTCTCGGTCCTGTACCAGATCAATCTGGACACAGCATCCCTGATCCCATACTGGATCCAACCCTGACCCTCTTCAATCCCATASTGCAACTTCTGGGAACAGAAAGGCATAGGCTGCCTTGGGAACTGTCTTCTTTTTTTTTCCTTCTTTTTTGCCCTTGTGBTGGACAAAATGAGCTGATCCCAGTGGCCATGGCATCCATCCTTGTATTTTGCAGCCGTGGATTGAACCGCATGGAAAAGAAAGATTTTGGGAGAAAAAACCCAAATAATCTCTGTGGCCCAGAGATGCTCTGAGGACGTGGCCAGGAAGGCAGTGGATCTGTGGATACCAGGATTACTCTGACAGCAGCCAAACAACTGGAGGATGTTATTTGGAATAGCGGGCAGGAAAGCAGTGCTTTCTGAATTTCTCCGCTCCAAAATCTTTAGAAATCTGGGAAATCTATGGAAATCTGGGAGATATTTAGGACTCTGGTTACACACAATGCCTTCCCACACTCCAAACCAGAAGCCCCATCCAGAAGCCCCATGTGCCAACCCACCCAGCACCAAAGGATGGATTCTCCTGCCCTTCAGTCTGTGTGAATTCACTTTGCTCCTGGGTTATTTCCAAATGGGATCTGAAAATTTGGGAAGTGTCTGTGATCCCCAGGATCAATTTCCTGGCAATTTCTGTCTGGGGAGTATTTTTGAGGCTCTGCTCCTATGGTGAAGGAATTTSTTGGGATCTAATGATGGTATTGCTGTTTGGAGCAGCATTTTTCCTCGGTTTTCCTCGTGGGGAATCAGGAATTGGGGACCCCCGAGGCTGTGTTTGGCTCCTTGGAATCACCGGCAACAACACAACGTGGGATGGAAAGGAAGAGCTCTGGACGTGCATGAGTTGGATGGGTGCAAATCCCTTCTGCCATGATACCAGACCCATTCCATCAGGATTGTGTGGGGTTGATGGGTTTTATCCCAAACCCAGAATGGGATGGGTAAAATCTCATCCCAGCGTTTTTCTCCTGTTTGGGAAAYGGATGGGAACCAGGCAAGGCGCTGCCAGAGCAGCCAAGCTGAGACCATGCACAGGATTGGCATTATTCCCAAAAAAACCAGTTTAACCCCAGGAATTCGAGTCTGGAGGCGAGGATTTAAATAAATCCAAACCTTCCTCAGGCATGGAATTCCATCCAAACAGCTCTCCCGACACCATGCTGGTGTAATTAATGCACGTTGGTGTAATTAATGCGCCTCTGCAGGCTACAATCCCAAAATAAATGAGGGAAAAATCCATAACCTGGGCTTATTCTGGCTTTTTTTGCACCACTCCTGCGATGAATTCCCGAGGATACAGAGCCGTATCTGTCTCCTAAAGAAAATAGATCCTTAACGGCACTGCTGCCAAGGAAAATGATTAAAATACGGATTTTTGGCAGGAAAAGGGGTTGCTCCAAAAACCGGGCGGGTCTTGCTGGCGGTTCTGGCAGAGCGTGGAGGGTTTTGGCATTGGGATGCGGATGGAGGTGTTGGAATGGGGGGATTTTTCTGGCGTGGGGGCTCAATYGAAGCACAGCATCCTCGGGCCACAGCAGTTCCTCCTTCCTTCTGTACTAATACGGGATTTTCTGGTTTATGTGGGATTTGCCCCCCAGCAGCGCCGCCTTCCTTCCCCGCCTGGAAAATATTAAGGAAAAACACGATTTTTTTCACACTTTTTGGCTTGTCCGCGTCGCTCTGTGCAGCTGCTGCGTTTATCCAGCGCTTCCCGGCTCTGARCCCTCCCCGTGCCTCAGTTTCCCTACTCGCAGACTCTCCCGCCTGCTCCGCAGAGCTGCCGCACACAATGGCCCCTTTATCCCGCTCCTTAATTATGCTCTTCGGCTAATTACCCTGCGGGCGGGGTTTGTAGACCTACAGGAGGTTTCCACTCCTCCCCCCTCCCCACACACCCCCCAATTCTCCCTCCTCCCTCCTTTTCCAACACGATTCCCAAATTAAAGCGATGAAGTAAGTGCTCGGGGCGCCTCTGCTCAGCCCTGGGATTGTTCCGGGACTGAGGCGCATTCATCATCCTTCTGGAATTCCCAGCAGCTGCTTTTCATTAGTTTTCCTTCCTTGAAGTCGCTGGCGGGAGCTTGGGAGGGAAGAGGAACCCAGGGGGAAGTGCCCGGTGCATCCTGGATGGAGGAAGAGGAGGGATAAGGGAAGAAGGGGTCGGGATCGGGATCCTGTTGCGTCGTGTTCCGTCTCTCTCCTGTGTCGGAGTTTGGGGGAAAAGGGGGTGCAGTGTGGGGAGGGAGGCTGAGGAGGAGGGGGAGGGGAAGGAGTGATGTGCCCCTTCCTGGTTTGCCTCTTTTTCTGGTGATTTTTGGCAACTGTGTGTTCACCCTGTGGATTTTGGGGCCTTTGGGGTTTCCAGAGCCCTGGGGGTCCTGGAGCCTTTGGGATCTCTTGGCTTTGGGGTTCCCAGAGCCCTGGGGGTCCCAGATGGAGCTTTGGGGATCTCTGTGGGTCCTGGAACTCAGGGGATCCTGGAGGCTTTAAGGACACGAGAGGAATGGGGGGATTTTTCTGGCATGGGGGCTCCCTCGAAGCTCAGCATCCTCGGGCCACAGCAGTTCCTCCTTCCTCCTGTACTAATGTGTGGATTTTT